TCATGCAAGACACAGTATCAATATTAATGCCACTCTAGTATTTATTCTTTGGTCATACTGAGCCCTGGGTCTTTCCTAAAGAGGATTGTACCAGCCTGAAGGGAAGGCATGCTGCCTCCCCAGGCTCCTGCTGCTATGGGTGACCTGAGGGCCTGAAGTAAGAGAGAGAGTGACGCTGGATCTTCAGTAAGCTGACTGAGGGGAGCTGTGTGCCAAATATCTGTCTGGTATCACTGGAGGGCATTGCCTGGAGGATTCGCAGGAGTCTATCATTTTGGCCTTCAGCCTTGTGAGTACATACACTTTGGGATCTTGTGGACCTGTGTGCTTTGTTATCCCTTTGGTGCTTTGTAGCCAGTGAAGGTCTGAAACAAGGGTACACTGGCTGGTGTCCTGAAGAGCACTGTCCATTTAACCCTTTCTAACATTTGGACTTTGCTCAAAGTTACTACTTAAGGAAGTTCTGTCCTCAACTGTGATTAGTATTACTCCTGGAGTATCCTATTAATTTCCCACCCCTTTTCAAGTTTTCCAATAATAAAACAAAAACAACAACCCCTAGACTGACTATTGGAGACAATGTGCAAAAGTGTGTGTGCACCTGGCTGTGAAAGTACCTTGTGCCTGGCTGTGGGGCGAAATTAGGGAAGACATAGACAATAACTACAACGGCTCCTTCAGGGGTAAAAGGTACACATGCTGATGTGCAAATGACATTTACATATAGGAGAGGAATTTTCTAATTTTCCAGTGTATGAAGGTGGCAACTTTACGAGTGCACGATTTACTACATCACTGCTTATTGGTTAGTTATTCCATTCCCTTCCACACATACAATGAGGGTATCTAATAACATAAGGAAAACATTAAGTATGGTTATAAGCTAGTGGAAATGTTTTACTTTTATTGTTACTATTAACGATTTCACAAAGAAGTTAAAAGCAAGTTGTCTGGTTACTGAAAAACATCTTCTCTTACCGCAAGCACCGCTGTTCCAAGTGTTCATATGATAATCCTGATTGAGTGCTGATTATCACGATGGTTTTTCATGACTGCTGACATTTCCATTTTCTTGCATCTGTTCTTCAGCCACAGGAAAATGCAGAACTTTGTTATGTGTTGTGACAAAACAGATTAACAAGAAAGAAATCTGCCGAAACGCCTGACTCCTACATTGCATTTTGCCAACATTCCTACAGTCCAATGTGATATGAGCTGACGTTTTACAGCAAAAAATGAGCTGTGTGTCAGAACTTGTAAAGAAATCTCAACCTTAGACCATCAACAGTGATAACAAGGAACACATCGGCTCTTCGCTAACTTGAGTTTGCTGAATTCCTTATTTTTTACAAGAAATATTTTCTATATGCAATATTGAGGTTTTCATGGGATTGATACATATTGCAATTAATAAACCTGCTTTTGGTATCTAACAAACATAACTGGAAATACAGACTATTAAACTTTCAACAATCAAGCAAGGCAGAAGATTGAAAGACCATCTTGCAATTTGGGATCACTGTGATTCTGCCCCTGATCCCAAATCAAATGGCAATTACAGCAGAATGTGTGCATTTGGGTGCCATTATCCTTTAATGGCACCGCAAACGTGATGCAATTCTGCCATGATTGTCGCACAACAGGATTTCACTGCAACTGCGGCAAATTGCCCCTTCACAACTTGCATGAAGTTTGTCATCTTGAAAGGAGCAGGAACTTCTATTTTAGGCACAAACATTCAAAGGGCAGCCTATTGAAGTGAATGGGATGCCTTATACGACACGCATAATCACGTGAAAATCACATGTCAAAATCCCGTTACTCGATAATCTGAGTAGGTCATTAAAGCGGAGTTCCAGTGAAACTGTAAAAAAATAAAACTCAGCAGCTACCAAAACTGTAGCTGCTGACTTTTAAAAAACAGACACTCACCTGTCCCTCAATCCCATGGTAGCCTCCTCACAGCCCCTTTCACTGGCCATCCTGTGGGCACCGGGCTGTGACAGCTTGTGGCTTCACATCCAGGTGCCCACTGCAAATGCGTGAGATGCACTTTCTGAATGGTCCTGTTGTTTTCTGGGACCTTTTAAGTGTTCCAGAAGACCACGGGGAGGGAGTGAGGGAGGACAACTGCACCTTCTTATCAGCTAGGCGATTGCAGCAGAAGTGGGAGGCGGGTACCTGTTAATTTTGGGTAGCCGTCCCCCCCATCCCCCGTTCCTCAAAGGTGCCAATCCTTAATGGGAAGCGGGGGCCCAGTTCTTAAAGCGGAACTGTTTGGGTGGAGCTCCGCTTTAAGTTCAAATTTTTAAACATGTCCAGTGAAAAGTATTAAGAACAAATTGAACTTTATATTGCTGTTTTTATAAAATACAATTTATGATTATGATATTAAAGCATATTATAATACCCAGTAAGCCACTCATATACAAGTGTCCTTAGTTTGTGGTTGTTTTAACTTACTTGCATTTCCCTTTGCTGCTGTTTATTACTCCCTTTTGACAGTGTGGACAGTGCTGAAATGAATACAGGAGGAGTGGTGACCTTTTGGGGAAGATGAAGTGATAAAGAAGACTTCTATTGGCCAAAGCCATGGACTTGGTCCTGCCAATTGAACAAAACAAGGAGAGAACCTACTGGGGACTGGAAGTAGAGTATATGGTCTGCTGGAGCTGCCTGAGCTGTGAGAAGGAGCTGTGCAGAGGAAAGACTGTGTAGATCTGTCCTAGATAGTGAGAGGTGCTGCTGTACTGTGCTACCTGGAGACCTGCTTTTCCATCATTTATGCAAGGGGGATCATATGCGCTACCACTTTGAATTATATAATTAAATGTAAGGATTGAGCAGCTGCTCACATTTAATCTATGTGTCCCCACATATATAAACATGAAATTGAAAAAAAATATGGCGCTTACTCAAATATACAGTATATATCACATAAATTAAAGAAAAAAACAGCAAAATAAAAATGAATGTCAACTACTCCATTAAATATTTACCAGTGCTTAACCTCCCTAGCGGTCTGATTATGTCAGTATTTCTGTACTCAAAGCGATAAATTTTTGTTGCATGGAAATATGTATTTTTTTTATTGTAGGCCTGTAATTTTTAGTAATAACTCACTGAAATCTGTCTGAACAAGAGTCTAGTAAACATCCCAGGTATGTTAAAATTTGCAACATGAAATCAAAAATGATAATTTAATAAATAATCATAAAAAATAATATAATAATATTGCATTTAATTCAATAATATAATCAAACCAAAAACACTGAAATTTGAAATTGAGCGCAAAATTCGTACATCACTGAGCAAAGACGCAAAAATGTGTTTTCAGTGTCTGATGACGAATTTCCCCACGAATCATTATCACTCAATTCTGCAAGTGGTTCTAATTTACTATCGTTGTTCTCTAGCTGGTCTAAAACCGCTTTTGACCTAAAGGGATGCTTTTTGGACGCCATGGACGTTTCTCAGTTTCCAGGCAGAAAGAACGGTAAAAATGTAGGCAGGGCACAGGACAAAGCACTCGGGACAAAATTTATGTGAAATGGTTTGATAAAGTAATGTTTTACTATGTAATTTTAGTGTATTTAGTGAATGTCACTTTTTCACACTTTTAAATTTCCCGCCATTCCATCCCCCGTACGTCCCGACGTTGCAGGGAACGAAGCCCGGAAGACAGATGCCGGCATTGGCCGGAGAACATTGCCTGGGACATCGCGGAGCGAAGGACAAGGTAAGTGAAGAAGAGATCCCGGAGCAACGCTGCAAGGTATTCCCGAGTGTAGCTCGAGTTTACCGCTTGTGCTGCTAAAACTTTACCCCGAGCTACACTCGGGAATACCGCCAGGGAGGTTAAATAGTAAATAAAATCTTATAAAATTAGTTCAAACATATAAAGTGCAAATGCATAAGGACATATATTGTGCAATTACTCTTAGTGTCACTAACCCTACTGTGGGTTAATGTCGCAAATCCAGTGCTTAAAATTCAGTGTAAATTATTAGAGTTCCACTGATACCATTTTTTTTCTCTGAGTACAAGTACCAATACTTGTGCTCAAGTACTCAGTGATACCGATTACAGATACCTTTGTGGTGTGCTTCGAGCCCATACAAAATTAATAGGTTCAAATCGTACTGCAAAGAATGCAGTGCTATTCCTGTCCAAATCACGTGCTTTTTCCCTGTTGGTGCAATCTGCAGTGCGATTTGAGCTATACAAATTTCAGTTCAAATCACATGCGATTCTTTGCAGTGTGATTTGAGCCCATTCATTTTGTATGGGCTCAAATTTGCTCTGCAATAGTATCGCTTTCAGGTATCGGAGCATTTGCACAAGTACAATTACTTGTGCAAATACTTAGTATCAGCACAGATACCAGTATCGGTGCAACCCTACTCACAATGAATGAATAGCTTTCGCAATAAGAATATCTTGCTTTCATTGTGAGGCTGGACTTGATCCAGTGGCTGCACGGCTGTAAACATAACCATGTCCTTCTCCTTGATCTACAGTGCTCAGCTTGAATGAGTACACCCCTTTTGAAAAGTAAGATTTTAATCAATATCTCAATGAACACAAGAACCATTTTCAAAATGTTAACTAAACTGAGTTTTATAGAACATTTTATTAGCTCATTACATGAAAGTAAGGTTAATAATATAACTTAGATTACAAAATCTTCAGTTTTACTTAAATTAGTTGATGCAAAAATAAATACACCCCACAACAAAAACTACTTCATCTAGTATTTTGTATGACCACCCATGAATTGCAAGGACAGCACCAATGTCTTCTAGGCATGGAATGAACAAGTTGGAGACATATTGCAACATCTATCTTTTTTCATTCTTTCTTTTCAAACTCTTTCAGAGCCTGGATGCTGTATGAAGAGTGATGCTCAACTTGTCTCTTCAGAATTCCCCATACGTGTTCGATTGGGTTCAGATCAGCAGACATACTTGGCCATTGAATCACTTTCATCCTGTTCTTCTTCAGAAATGCAACAGTGGCCTTAGATGTATGTTTTGGATTGTTGTCAAGTTGAAAAAGTGCCAAATGACCAGGGGCACGAAGTGATGGTAGCATCTTCTCTTTCGATATAGAGCAATGCATCTGTGAACTCATGATACCATCAATGAAATGCAGCTCCCCGACACCAGCAGCACTCATGCAGCTTCACAGAAGGACATTGCCATGTTTCACTGTATGCACCATGCAGTTTTCTTTGTAGTCCTCACCTTTGCGACGCCATACCGTCTTGAAGCCATCAATTTCCAAAAACATTTATCTTGGTCTCATCACTCCAGAGTACACAGTCCCAGTAGTCTTCTTCTTCAGCATGGGCCCTGGCAAATTCTAGGCAGGCTTTAGGAGAGGCTTCCTTTATGGACCACACCGTAGCATGCCATTCCTATGCAGTGTATGCTGTATTGTGCCAGGGGAAACAATCACCCCAGTTTGGCTTTCTACTTCTTTAGCTAACTGCAGTGAACATGCATGGCAATTGTCTTCAAATCAGAAGACGCTCCTATCAAGGTTTTAACTTCCATGGACGAGCTGGACATCTCTGTGAGATCGTTGTAGTTAAATTTTTGTTACATTTTTGTATCACTTTTGCTACATTATTCTTAATGATAAGTAAAGCTTTGCTGATCTTCTTGTAGCCTTCTTCTTTATTGTGTAAATAAATTATTTTCTTTCTCAGGCCTTGTGACATCTCTGTGAGATCGTTGTAGTTACATTTTTGTTACATTTTTGTATCACTTTTGCTACATTATTCTGAATGATAAGTAAAGCTCTGAATGATAAGTAAAGCTTTGCTGATCTTCTTGTAGCCTTCTTCTTTATTGTGTAAATAAATTATTTTCTTTCTCAGGCCTTGTGACATTTCTCTTCCATCTGGTGCCATTGCTGACAGCATGAAATAGGAAGGGGTTTTCTTTGTTAAGTAATGCCCATTTTAAAATCAACTGTCTGCTGGACACCTGTTTAATGAATAATTAGACTAATCTGTAGTTGAATTCTTGTTAATTTGGATTTTGTTGTCTAAAATTTAGCGTTGCTTCTAACACTTCCATTGAAGTGTATTAATTTTTGCAACATGGTCTTGAATGAATTTAGGAAAAATACTTTTTTGTGAGTGCAAATTAACAAATCTTGTTTGCAATCAATGGCCTGCTTTTGTGGAAGTATTTTGTAGTAAAGTGTTCCATAGAAAATGTTGATTCTGAAAGGAAAGTAAAGGTTTTCTGACAAATCTGTTTTGGTGTACTCATTTATGCTGAGCATTGTATATCTTGCATCCTGCATTCAGCTCTTTACACTGTTTTTCTTCTCTTTGTTGTCAAGGGCTTCACAGCAGGCCCCACACACCTCTATCTGACTGGGTCCTGCCTGTCGCTTTGACAGTTTTTAAATCCCATCCTCTCCCCATGGCAATAAAAAATGGAGGTGGGGCCTTGGAAACACAAGGAAGCCCACCCCCTTCAGTCTGTCACATTCTGCTGTCTTTTCTGTCAGTGCCGAGAGTGAGAGGAGAGATGCCCCCAATCTATCATCTTACAATGGGTGCCTTCATATTGTAGCATCCAGATTGCTAATGGGGCTGGCAGGAAAAATGTCTGTAGTACTGAAGAATAAGGTAAGTAATTATCTCTTTTGCATACCACTTAAACTATGCATGCATTAAATCCTCAATATACAGGGGTGGGGGGCAGGAAAATTAAAACTTACATAATTGTGTATATAGTAGAAGGGTCAGGAGTATATGTACAGAGTACAATCTGTATGGCGTCTGTCATCTACAACCAAGCATACAGAGTGCAGTGGTCAAAAGTTTGAACTGTGCAATTCTATAAATATGCAAGATACATCATTAAGGGGTATGTACCATGTATGGCGGTCAGGAATATTTGATGTACAGATTACATAATCCTGACTGCTGCACTTTGTATGCCATATGTTGCATATGCCTGATTGCTGAACTCCCAGCATACAAAATGCAGGAGTACCTAAAGAGACACTATAACCTTGCCCAAATATCTCTGCAAAAGGCCCCCCTAACCCACTTATACTTAATTTACCAATAATCCCTTGCTAGCCCTCGCTGCTCCTTTATAGCTGTCCATAATACCCAGAATATCTGGGTATGAAAGAACATGTGACCTCCTTTACAGTGATACAATGATAGTCTAGCAGCCAATCGCTAGGCCCAAGCAGTGCCACATGACTGGGGGAGTGATCTCACTGATCCCTGGGTCCCCAACATCAGTCATTTCAGTGCCAGTTGTGGAAGGGGGGAGGGTAGAATGCAGAAGACAAATTGGAAAAGAAACAGTGGGCAGTCATGACAGTTGGACCTGGCATGTCCAGCAGGGTGGGTGCATTGCTGGCATACAGGGAATGGATCTCCTTTGAGCTTCAGCTGCAAGTGACAAGCATGGCTGCAGCTTAAAATGGCATTGTGGCCACAGTTTTATTTCTACCAACTCTTGGAGCAGTTCTAACAATTTTGATATACCTATTTCCCGTTATTCATATTATTTTTGACTTGGAGCAAATGTACATTGAATCACCCAATTCTTCTCTATAATTCGCCTGCACGTATATATTCAGTTATTTTTCCTGAAAGTATATTGGGGTGCATAGCACTGCTTACCTGGCAGCTGTGCTTAGTGATTTAGCTAATTGCAAGTGCTGTTAAATCACGATAATTGCTTTGTTATTTTTCACCCTAGCAAGCAACTGAAAACTTGATAACAGTATCTGCATATTGCCACATGGCACTCTCTGAAAATGAACTATTCATTCACTTTTGAAACAGCAGAGTGACAATTAAATGTCAGTTTCATCATTACTAGAAAGTGCTGGGAGCAATAGAGACACTTTCATAGCTATTGGCATCTGCAGTCCGCAAGAAATCACAATCATTCTCTACAGGAGGAGATAAGAATACGGCAAAATGAACCTGAAAAACAGTCATATCCTTAGTCTTTGGAGCCCTGCAGAGCACAAACCGAAGGTATTTAAAGCAGACCTAGACTCAGCCAACCTTACTCTTCAAACAATATAAGACAAGTCAATGGGGAATGATAGCACTTATAGTCAGCATTTTGCAGTTGCTCCTTTGCTTAGACCTACTTTTTCTTCCCTTGTAGTGTCTCTGTGGAAACGTTCTTACTGTTTCTAGATCAGCTTCCTGATCACACTGTCAATGCAACCTAGTCATTAAAGGCAGGAGTGGCTGGGATATTCCTATGGAACTGCTAATAGAAAAACAGAGGGTGCGTAGACAATTTAAATGCTCCTTCTAAGTGATTTTATAACCTAAAGGTGATTTGCAGTGTTACTGTACTAATAATTGCCTATTACATACCTCTCAACTTTGTGAGATGGGAAAGGGGACACATTATAGCATAAAGCCAGCCATAGACAGTTTGAATCTTGGCTGGTTCAGTAGGGACTTCAATTATATATTGGCAGGTTGAATCGATTGATCAACCAGCCTGTCATATTTTTAAATGTGATTATTGCTAGCTTGCAATTAGCTATTAAAGCCATTAGCAGTATTACTGTGTTCTCCCAGTGGGGACGGCTTCCCCCACCAGAAGAACACAATATCTCCATGGGAGGGATCCCCCCATCAACACTAAGCCATGGTTGCAGGAAACAAAATCCGTCCATCTATGGCCCAGATTTAAGTATGTAAGTGAAGGACGAACACCTGCCATGTCTCTAGTAACCTGGACCTTGCAGATTAATGCACAAAAATGATTGGTTCATCTCCAAATTTCTTTTTTTCCATCACTATTTTCCTTTATACTGTCTTCTTTAGAAAATTAAATATCTTTATAGAGGTCTATGCATCAGGTCAAAAAGGGGGACAACTGAGGAAGAGAAAAAGCACAGGGGGCTTGGTTCTAAAACAGGGACATTCCCTTCAAATGAGGGTCAGTTAGGAGCTATGCTAATATCCAGCCAAACTTTAAATTTTAAATATAGGTTTACTTTAATGATGACATATAGCCTTTAGAAAGTACTTAAGATATAAATATATTACAGATTAACCAAATCTTTAGAGATTAACCAAACCTTTAAAAAGATATGCTAAAATAAACTTGGGTATTTTGTTACCACAATGAGCTAAAATACGTAAAATGGTCATAATGGTTTGAAGGTTGCCATCTGGAGAAGGACCACAGTGTGTCAGAGTAGTTTGACCATGGCACATCTTTAGAAACTGGGATCCTGTTGCACCTTATACTCAAATTGAAGGGTTTTATAACATGATATTGGAGCAGGAAGTTATGGGAACTTTCCCCAATGGGTATTCCAAATGGAATCAGGATGAAGGTTCTAGGCATTTATCAATTTATGAAGGCAATACAACAAACATTTGGCTGGAGTTGGGCTTCTTCCACAGGTTTTTAAAAATAATAAAGAAGCTACAATTGCTATACTCAACTGATCTTCGGTGCTGTTCTCTACAAACTCACTGCGCTATCTTTCAGCCGTTGCTCCACTTCTGGGTTGACTGTCATTACCTGGTGCTAACTCTGCAACATAATTTACCCACTACTGTAGTAAAAATGAAGACCACATCTGAGGTCATCAGATTTGGTCAAAGGCACCTGGAAAAAAGGATATGTGTCTTGACTGATGTCTTGGTCGCAGGAGTGCTTCTGGGGGGGGGGGGGGGGGGGAGTGAAGGACTTTCAAATGGGGGGAGGGAACCTGAGCCTAGAGTTTGGCTTAAGAGTTCTGGTAGATATTTTTAACTCCAGCAATAAAAATATGTCATTGAACTTTCTTAACAGGATCCTGCCTTTGATGATAAAACAGAAATGTTTACAGAAATGGCATGAACTGGAAAAGCTGGCATCCATGTGTAACTTCCGCTAAGTTTGATAACTACTGAGTATGAAAAATAAAAATCTTTGCTGTATTCCTCATACATTGTGTTTAATATCTAATTAAAAAAAACCACAAACACAAGTGCAGCTTGAGAAACCTGACACTACTTATAAACTTTATAAAAGCAAAGGAAGCTTCTAATGCCAGCACCTCCAGTGTGTCCTGCAGAAGAATTCTTCACAAGCAGTAACATTAAACATCGAGCCAAGCCACTATGGCACATTGTCCTCCATTCAGGCTATGATGAGATAAAACTTATTTTTCTAGAATTGCTTGAAAATGTGTAATTGTTAGGCTTTCTGTTAATTTTCCAGGATTCATCTACCTTAGAACATGCTGTTAAATACATTATGCAATTATTTTAAATGGGGCAGCTGAATAATTCATATCAGGGTAAAAATCATCTTCACATGTAGTGACCTTTACTATGGT